CTACCATATTTTAATATTTACCTCTGAATAATTGTTATCAATTGACAGGTTTTTTTTTACCCTTTCTTTCTTTAGCTATAGATCTTTTGTCAGGGGGCAGAAATGAAAGCAGAACCTAAAATTTCCTTGAGAAGTGAAGAAGTTACATTACATTGAGTCATTTTTCATCTGAAATGACCTGTTCCTTATAAAGCAGTAGAAATAAAATTGTCTGTATGTGTGCACATGAGTGTGTGTATGTTTAATTTTATCTCTCTGTGTGTGTTTAAAATCCTTATTATGTGGGGAATATTTATATGCAAAGGAAAAAAAACTAGAAAAAAACCCCATAAAATATTAAGAGTCAAATGTGATAATCATTACTTTCTCTTTTTTTTTCTGCATTTGCTAAATATTTTTTACCATGAGCACAAGTCACTTTTACAAGCTGGAAAAAAAAGAGCAATTTTAAAAAATGATTCAAAGGAAAAGCTAGAAAATCATTATATATATTAAAAAGCCCAAACGAAACTTATAAAATTTCTTGGCCTTGCCAGTACTTTTTGAACACAGTGTCTATGGGCAGCCATGATTCCAGAAGCATCCATGAAGTCTGAACTTGAACTCAGGGCCTATCTATCCATTGTCCTTAATGAGGTACTTAAGGCCTCTCTTGATTCTAAGGGTGTTTCTGGGTCAAGGGTAAAGGTGTGTGTGGACCTACGGCAAGGTGAGGAAACTCTGAGGCTCCATAGGGGAAGGAATAAGGTCTTTCTCACATGGGATGTTCTCTGTGGCCTCTCTTCCTTCCATAAGCAGAGAGAGCCAATACAGGCCATGGGCTGCTCCTCTGTGGGGTGGGACCTGATGATCTTCCTTTGGGCTGCCTTATAGCTGTGAGGTAGGAGGCCTGGGCTGCCTTGATGCACCGACCTGAGGCAAGTAGGCAAAGCCCTACATTTCTTATTCATTTCCTCCTACCAGATGGCTTGCTCTTCCCCAGACATCATTACCCACAGTAAAAGTAATAGGGTTGGCTGTCTTTGTGAATGACACTGTATTATATATGGAATTTTATATTCTAAGATAGTCTGAAATCTTTTCCTGTGATAGTTTTGATATTACACTTCCAAATTAATATTATACTTGTTTTCAATGAGATAATGCCTCCTTCATCCACAACTATTATTTCACTAGAGCCCAATGCATGAAACTCGTGCAAGGGTCTTGGCCCTCACAGCCCCAGCTTCATCCTGAAGGTCTCCCAGAAGGTCGTTTGGCTGTTTGGTCTAATTAGCATATTATGCTTTTATTATTATAGGTAGCCAAACCCTGTACAATATTTAGTGGACCTTTCAAGGTGGCATATACATTTAAATGGTCAAGACTATAAAATTCCTATAGTACTGTTTCTTTAACATTTGTTCTTAATCTAAAAATAATTGTGAGAATTCTAAATTGCTGCAGTAAGTGTTTATGAAATAATACAATTTTCTTTAAAAAAAAAATTAAAGTGATTTATGCCCAGGGCTCTCTCTGCCTGTTTGATTTTAGGCCTGAGGTTGTCTCCAGTCCTGACAAAATTAGTTTTCCAGGTCAATCTCCTGCATCTATGGTCAAAGCCTCACAATTTTAAAGTATGAATTGGCTCTACTTTGTCCTCTGTACATGTAAATTTTTTTTCTCACAGAAAGCTGGAATCCAGAGAGGTCAGAATCTGAGGATTACTGATTGTGGTTTAGGATTCTGTACCCTTGGCCATCATCTGTCTTTCAGTCTCTTCCTATTCATCTCACCTTCTCTCAATGAACTCATTGGTGGCCTTGCACTTCAACACTGTCTGCACTAAGTTGTAAGGGTCTCAGAGTTCTCTCTCCTTTCTCTCTCTCTCTCTCTCTCTCTCTCTCTTTCTTTTTCTCCCGCTTACTATTTTTTACTATTACTTGGTTAATTTTTGTGTTACTTTAGAGAAGTGGTTTAGCACTTAAATGGCCATCTTCCTAAGCAAAGGAGTTGTTTTAAAAACTATGTATCCACTCAAATGTCTTAAAATACCTCAAGTTCATCAATCCTGGGTCTGATGCTTTGATAGTCCTAATTTGAATTTTCTTTCTAATTTTGTACACTCAGGACAACATCTTATTTTATTGTTCAAGAAAGAAGTCATCTTGTGGATACAGGAAAACGATGTTCTTATGGGTGTTAGCCCTCCTAGTCCTTTGTGGTTTTCTATGGAGCTATGCTGGTAAAAGACAACCAACGATTGCAGGCATCGCTGATAAGTACATTTTCATTACTGGCTGTGACTCGGGCTTTGGAAACTTGGCGGCCAGGACTTTTGATAAAAAAGGATTTCGCGTGATTGCTGCCTGTCTGACTGACGCGGGATCAACGGCGTTAAAGGCGGAAACCTCCGAGAGGCTTCACACTGTGCTTCTGGACGTGACTGACCCAGAGAATGTCAAGAGGACTGCCCAGTGGGTAAAAGACCACGTTGGGGAAAAAGGTGAATGACGTGGGGCTGGGAAGAATGGAAGGGGTGTTGCGAAGTAACTAAAGCTAGTAAAATGTGCTTGGATATTAAGTGGCCTTTCAAGAAAATGTCTCATAAATCCCCACTGTACACTGGAGAAGATTGGAGAAATCTTAGGATAGCCCCTGAATACTCCCTGGGCGTACATGAGAAACACAGCTCAAGCTATCCTCAGTCTTAAGTCCCACCGGTGAAGGTAGAACTGGGGTGGGCGTTTAACTTTTCCTTGTCTTCTCCAGTGAAGTGTTACTCTAGCCACATACACAGCAAAGGAACTTGGGGTTAAAATCTACAGGAGAATATGGGAACAATTCCCAAACTGTCATCTGGATACCTGAAATCTGCTTCTCACTGCAAAATGGCCAACGTAGAAAACGGCCTCAGAATTTCAGTAAAGGTGTCTTTCATAGTCATGGTAGAGTAGTGAGCCATCGGGCCTCATTCTGCGAAGGCGGCAGCATTCTGAACTCGAGGACTTTTACCTGCTCGAAGGAAGTTTGAAATATTCTCATGGATGAAGATATTTAATGAGCCCACAAATGGGAAAAAAACCCACAAATGTTTTTCTCTATCACATCTTCATCATATAGTTAAGAGTCTATTCCTCAAAAACAATGGTTTGATAGACTCCACATAATTTTTAAAGCTTGAATTCCAAACACCTTTGCACATATTAAATGTTTCCCAACATAAATAAGCCAAGTGAATGATGGGATTTTTTGCCAAAAATTAAGGTGAAATAGATGGATGCAGCTCTTCATCCATATAAACAGTTTATCAATATGCTCTGTCCTTGACATCTAGAAAGGTAGAAAAATAGACCAATTTACTCTATATCTGAGATTAAAAAACAAAAAGGTCTCACTGAGTAGCAGCATTTGACATTCAGAATCAAAAAATAGAATAACTGTGATACTGGCTTCCAGTAACAGAAGTTCAACTATTTCAATTCAGCCTCCCACGCTTCCTGCTGTCACTTCCCAAAACTGTAGAGTATTTCAAAGCAAGAGTATGACTAGAGGAGGAAATGGCACCATTGTGAACAGCAGAGGCTATATTTCCATTAAGGATGCTTCTACCACGTCTCCTTTCCTTCCTCTGTTCCAGGTCTCTGGGGGCTGATCAATAATGCTGGTGTTCTCGGCGTGCTGGCTCCCACCGACTGGCTGACGGTGAAGGACTACAGAGAACCCGTAGAAGTGAATCTGTTCGGACTCATCGACGTGACCTTAAATATGCTTCCCTTGGTCAAAAAAGCTCGGGGGAGGGTTATCAATGTCTCCAGCATTGGGGGCCGTCTCGCATTTGGTGGAGGAGGCTACACACCATCCAAATACGCAGTAGAAGCCTTCAATGACAGCTTAAGGTAAAGCAAATATATTAAGAAATAATAGCAGCTAACATTTATTGAATTTTTATTATGTACCAGACATTCTACTTAGTGCTTTAAATTATTCCCAATATATAGCTTATCACAAGCATGTCAAACTCAAAGGCTAACCCCAGCCAAGGAAACAAGGTTTAAGTTTATGTGCGTTGCAAAAAAAAAAAAAAAACACCACAGGTTTTTTTCAATAGAGACATGCTGAATACAAAGGGCTGAAATAAATGAGTAATTGTTACCATAAAACAATAGAACATTTTAATAAAAATTAATATTTTTTCTTGAACATTAACTTACCAGACACTGAATAACTGCACAAATTAATAAGCATAATGCAAATGAACCTATTTTTATTCGCTGCTAGTATTAGTGGAGAGAAATGGTGCACCTGTGCGTAAGGCACATAAGGGAAATGAATGCAACATGATTATAGAAATCAGTCATTAGCGAACGTTGTAGTTCGTTATTAATAATTATGTAGGATATTGTAAAAATTAAGTTACAAAATTTTTATTAAAAAGTTTCTTACATATGCTGTATTGGCTGGGCCCCAAAAATATTTGTTGCAGGCCACGAGTTTGACATGGTTGGCTTATCACATCATTTGGCTGTGTGCTTTCAGAGAACCCCCGAGCTCAAAACAAAGTACCAGTTTAACAAATAAATGCCCCAACTCAGTGCCCCCAAGCATGTGTGAGGTTTACAGGGCTTCTTGAATCTGTAGGTTTATGTATTTTGCCAGATTTGGGGAGTTTTCAGCTATTAATTTTTTCAAACTTTTTTTGTAATCCAGTCTTTCTTCTCCTTCTGAGTCCCTATAACACAAACGGTAGGACTTTTGGGTTGTCCCACAGGTCCCTTAGGTTCTTTTCACTTTTTCCATTGTTTTCCTCTCTGCTGTTCGGATATTTCTAATGATCTATCTTTAAGTGCACTGACTATCCTTCACTTTTATTCTGCTATTGAGCCCAACAGATAAATATTTCATTTTGGTTATTGTATTTTTCTAGTGGTTCAGTGGCACTGAACAAAACATGGTCTTCTCCCCTCCCTCGCCTACTAACATCTGCATTTTAGAGTTCTTAAATAGCTGCTCCATGCATTCTGTCCAGGTTTTGTCGCTACATTCAGTGGGAGAGACAGGGGAAGTAGTCTGTCTTACTTGGAACCAGAAACTGTCTCTTTCAGTTCAAAGCCCCTAAATTGCACGAGGTTGTATCAATCAAGTTTCTGGCAGGAAAGGGAGGACATTAAAACTGGGTAAATGGAGCAGAGTTTACTTAAAGGACTATTGGCAAGCATGGAGTCATGTAGTGAAATCCCAAAGGGTAGTGTAATGTCCAGGGACTTAATGACAGCCGGGGCATCTCTACCCACAAGACTGAAGGGAGAAGAAAGTGCAGTTTCTAGAACCTGGATACATAGAGGCAGTCACCTTCAGTTGAGGGATAAAATTAACCAGTGTCAACATCACAGGAGTAATAACTTGTCCAACCTCTTCCCATTGCTTCCTCTGCTCTTCCTCTGTTGCTCCCAATTGACTGAACCAAACAGAAGCTAAAATATAGTTAATGCAGGCAGGTCCCCCAGCGTGGAGAGCAGACACCGGGTGGAGGAGACAGTGGAGCAAATGGAAAGTATCCAGTTGAGTGTGCTGTGACAAGCAAGAGAAAAGATGAAATTACATACAGTCTTTTCTTCAATTCAACCATTTATTTATTTAACTAGTTGCAGGTACATGTTAGAGTTATGATCTACACCATGGATCTAGGTGTAGCTTACTAGTAAAAGGTTAGAGTATTCTACAGAGATTAATAGAGACAGAGCAACTCCATTTTGCCATTTGGAGTCAGGTTGCCAGGTTTGATTCTTTCAGGAAAGAATCATAAACACACAAGACAATGTCAGAACAATGCTTCTTCAATGTTCATGTGCATATGAATCGCCTTGATCTTTTTCAAATGCAGGTCTGATTCAGTGGGTCTGGGGGTGGGTCCTGGGTTTCTGCAGTTATAACAAGCACCCAAGTGCTGCCCCTGGTTGAGCGATTACACTTTGAGTAGCAAGGTCATGGAGAACCTCCATCAGTCTGCTTGGTTGCCCTTTGGTTCCACTCTCTCAGCAACAGAATCATAATAAAACGTTAGTACACTTAGAGACATACTTAATTTTAAAAAGATATTTCAACGGAAGGGTTTGTGGGATTGCAACGCAGCTGGGCTATGCCTGAAATTAATCAGTAGAGAGTGTTCATAAGTTTCTAAGTCATGGAACAAGAGTTGGAAATGGTGTTGTGCATGCAGGCCACAGTCCAGTGGCAGCTCCAGGAGGATTTGGGGGCAGCTGTCCTATTGGGAAAGGGTTGGGGCTCTTTAAAGCTGTATTTGCCCAGCAACATACTGGTTTCATACTGGTTTTACTCACCTGGTAAGGTTAGTTGGATGACTTAAAGCCATTTGTCCCTGGAGGATGTTATTTTCATGAGTAGATGGAGAGGAAAGTCTTCCCATATGCCCCTTTAGCACTGACACTTTCCAAACCCACAGGAGATCAGAGATAGGCGAGAAAAATACAATCAGGTTGAAAAATAATCTTTTTCATTTCAATGCAAACAATGTACCCTTCAAACTATTTCAAAATCAAGCTAATTTGCATTTTTGTAAAATATACTTCAAACTAAACAATAGGTGTGCTACTAGAAAGCAAAATGTAAGATCAATTAAATCATAATTTAAGGTTACTGGTAAAGTTCTTAGTAAGTCTTATGGTTGGTAGAGTCTTCTGTAAAATGAATAATTACTTCCTTATATACTCTTGATAGAAATATAAATTAAATATAGGAAATAATTATTCACATAACTGGATTTAAAGAAATGGGGACCATGATTTCACCAAAACCCTGTTGCCTGGTAAATGCATATGTTTGGGTTTTCTGCAGTGAGATGATGAAAGAGCTTGCTGAGTGGCCTAGGGAACAGGTTAGTCAAGTCATGTTGTGTCCCTCAGCATATCCTCATTCATGCTGCAGTCTCCTCACGTTCCTAGAATGGAGGTAAACTTGTCCAGCCAGACCAGTCATCGGTCAATGTAACCATAAAGTATGCTACGTACTGAAAAGAAATCTATCCTCAGCCCAAATGCTTGTCAATTCAATGAGAGTAGGCTCAGGGGGAACACTGGGCTGGGGGTGGGTCTACCCAGGTCCCTGTCCTGTTCTGTCACTAAACCAGCCCTCACTTCACCACCCTGACCTTCAGATCCGCAAACTGAGAGGGCAGAACAAGAAGCTCCTGTCCAATGCACCCAATTCTCTGATCTCGTGAAAAGTTTCACAAGAAAATGTCACGAGCATTTTCCAAATGAACCTCCACTGAACATCATTAATGGTTTCTTTGTTTTTTACTCAGACGGGACATGAAAGCTTTTGGTGTGCATGTCTGTTGCATCGAACCTGGATTATTCAAAACAGGATTATCAGATCCAGTAAAGGCTGCTGAGAAGAAATTTGCCATTTGGAAGGACCTGTCTCCAGATATCAAACACCAATACGGAGAAGGTTACATTGAAAAATGTGAGTTTTGGGGATGGACCCAGGGTCCTCTGGGATTCATTGTCATAGGCAGTATGCAGGAGACTCAAACATATATAAAAAAATGAGGTTCCATAGTAACAGGGATCTTAAATATGGATCAGGTATTCCTACTAATTCCAGTGTCATCTCTTGATCCTCTGAGCATTTACTAAGTGCCAAGTTCTATACTGAGCACTTTATAAATTATGTGTATCATTTACCCCTCAAAAACACACACAACACTATAGGAATAGTAAACAGAGGCTTGGGAAGGTGAAATGTCCTACCCAAGGCAATACAACTTCTCCTGGTCTTCACCTCTACCCAAACTCCTCTACCAATCAATCACTTAACATTGTTCCAGGATTTATGGAGGTCCCAAAATATAAAGACTTAGACTCTGACCCTTAACTAGCTTATAATCTAGTTGAAAACAAAAAGTAACCAAGAGAGACTGTAAAACAATGAGACTGTACAGCATAAAGAAAATCAATCCTTTACCTCTTAGACATAACCCTATATTCCAGAAGGGTGCTTGCTATATGGTGTGGTCTCTAATTGCCCAAGGAATTCAGACCAAGGAAAAAAAAATAGTGGCTGAGAAATCTTTATGGGACAGGTCAGGTTTGAATAAAGCCCAAAGTACAGGAAGGAATTATTTGGGTAAAAACTTTCTGGAGAAGGAATGCACAGGGAGTGGAGATAGAAGAAGTAACTAAGTCCAGAGACTGAGTCAGGGATGGAGAAATAATAAAGTGTACTTGTCCCCACTACAAGAACTTTATATGAACTTTCATTTAAAATGCTTAAATAAAAAGTAAATAAATAAAATGCCCAAATAAACCTTATGAAATAGATACCATCTTAATTTTATAGAAACAGAGAAGTAAGTTGCCCGAAGTTGCAGAGTTATAAGTGGAAGTACTAGATTTGAACACAGGTAGCCTGACTTTGTACCACACTATAATGTCAACAGGCATTAAGGAGCTGGTTGAAGTTCCTGTATCAGGATTGCGCCTCCACCTCAAATTTCCTGGCCCTGCCCCACCTAACTTTGTGTCACTCTATTCCTCCAAGCTGCAATCCAGCCTCTCCCTCAATGGGCTTGGTAAAACAGCCAACTGTGGTAAGGTTCAAGGCCAGTAGTTCACAAGGTGGAGCAAAGACCAAGGCAGATCCACCTAGGGAGGTTTTTAGAATGACTGACTCCCTCAATCACCCCACCCACTACACATACACACATACACACACACGCACACACAGATGCAAACATATACACATATACAGGCTGTCCCCCAAAAAATGAATATGCACTTTTAATTATTATAAAGTCAGTGTTTATTACCATACAGTTCATTTTCAAAATTTAAAATAATCTGCAGAAATGAATAATTTTTTTGTCAATGCCTGTTTTCAAACTAATGACCATTCTGATCCAGCCATCACTGATAACGCGAAGCAATGGAATGGCAAACATCAAGAATCATTTTGTTCAGTATTTATGTGTCCTTGATTCTTCGACTGTTGCCTTGATTCTTTGAGTTTTGTACCATAAACTTCATCTTTTATGTATCCCCATAAAAAAAAAGTCTAGCAGCACTTTAGGATAAATTTTCTTTGTTCAAAGTTTAGTCTGGCTTCACCCATTATTTCAAGTCAGTTAAATCTGAAAAGGAGTGAAAATTAAGTGAATTATCAGTTGTTAATATAAATATATACATCATTGGGGGACACCCTAAATATCAACTATAACTTCTGGTCTGACAAACCTCCCAGTGCTGACATGTCACTATAGATTTAAAACCTCTGCCGTTAAATACTATTCCTCACTCACCAACTCTGAAGGTTCTAAGTAGATTCAGAAACAAAATGCTCTTTCAAAAGCGTTCTCTCCATTTGATACTAACATTGATACTTTATAAATGCCGATAAGTATATCACCAACTTCCATCTCAAAATTATGTTTACACTAGCCCCTGGTTCAAATGTCCTGTCTCAGAAGTACCATGTGGCTTTGAGCCCAATGTTACACTGATTGTTCTTTTTAGAGTTTTCCAAGTCAGGTTTTGGAGATCAGCCAGACTCACTGTTCCGAAGTAGACCACAAACTTAACCTCACCTTTCTTCGTTTCCCAAGCTGGAGTAATAGAAGTTTAAAATAGCCACTAAGGCTTATTAGGTAACCTCATTTAGATTCTTTGATCAACTTGTGGCTACTGGGGCCTGAAGTTGAAAGGAAGATTTAAAATAATAGTTTTCTTTTGAGAAGACACAACTCACGTATTTTTTTTTCTTTTAAAATATTTTTATTATTTCAGAAAGGAAGAGAGAGGGAGAGAGGTACATCAATGATGAGAGAGAATCATCTATCGGCTGCCTCCTGCAGGTCCCACTGATGACCAAACCCGCAACCTGATCATGTGCCCTTGACCAGAATTAAACCTGGGACCCCTCAGTCCCTTGGCCGATGCTCTATCCACTAAGCCAAACCAGCCAGGACTTCAGGTATGTTTTAAGAGCACAGGGGGCCCTAGCTGGTTTGGCTCAATGGATAGAGCATCAACAGACTAAAGGGTCCTGGGTTTGATTCCAGTCAGTTGAAGGCTTGATCCCTGGCCCAGATTGCATGTGGGAGGCAACCAATCCATGTGTCTTTCTCACATCGATGTTCCCCTCTCTACTCTCCCCATACCTTCCACTCTTTCTATAAAACAATGGAAAAATATCCTTGGGTGAGGATTAACAACTACAACAACAACAACAAAAAGAGCACAGGAGGAATGTTCCAAGTCATTACCAATCCCTTGATGACACACCAGCCTCTTCAAAAGTGTCTTAGCTCATTACTCAAACACTTCACTCACCTGAGAAGGTGGAACTCTTCAGCTTCCTGAGTCAGGGCTTTGGAGCGATGATTCTCTATTTCTTCACTGGATTACAGAAGCACATGACACATGAGTGCACGCACACACATGCTTAAGTGCACATGCATTCCCACATTTCCTGTAAACATGGGACTCCCTCGAAACACACCCAAAATCAAACCCATAACTCCCTGGGCTCAGGAGCCTCATATACTTTATGACGTTGTTTCCCTTGTTGCTTTAAAGTAGTGCCTCTCCGAGTTTGGTCTCTGGACCAGTGCCATCAGCATCACCTGGAAACTTGATAGAAATGCAAATTCTTGGGCCCCACCTTACACCTGCTGCAGGTGGGACCCACCGATCTGGGCCTTAACATGCCCTCCAGGGAATTCTGCTACCCACTCAATTTTGAGAGCCAACGGCCTAGAGCAGCGGTTCTCAACCTTCCTAATGCTACGAACCTTTAATACAGTTCCTCATGTTGTGGTGACCCCCAACCATAAAATTATTTTCGTTGCTACTTCATAACTGTAACTTTGCTACTGTTAGGAATCATAATGTAAATATCTGATATGCAGGATGGTCTTAGGC